GGACCTTATTTGGACGGACATTACTTGAACGGACATAATTATGAACGGACATTAATATGAACGCTAGAAGGCAATCAAAACCATCAAAAATCCGATTTTTTTTCATCCTTTTTTTGACGTTTTTTAATTTTAGCAAATGATTTTTAAATGCATTGTTAAAAATATAATATTCAATATTACTTGGTTTTTATTGATTCAACGATATAGTTTAGTTTAATGATAGCTATTGAAGTTGACTGAAATTAAAAAATTGTCATATTCTGGACAAAAAGTTCGAAATGGAAAAATTTTTGAAAAAATTTCAACGGACCTTAACTTGGACAGACATTAATTGGACGGACTTTATTTGAACGGACATTAAGATGAACGCTAGGGCTTCCAGCGTTCAAGTAATGTCCGTCCAAATAAGGTCCGATAAGGTATATCAAACACGTTGATCTTACTTTATGATTAGAATCTGCGTATTAATTTTAAAAACCTCATGAAAAGAAGATTGAAAGATGGAGAATCCTAGCTGAGATTGCTTTTAAGTAGTTTGAAAAAGTATGGTTGTCCGGTAAGAAAATTTCCCTTGAGAGAAAGTTGAGGTTATATTATGATGCTCAAGTTGTATCTGTATTGATTTATAACTCAAACAGTTGGAGTCCTTAGAAAGCAACCATGGAGAAAATAGACACACTTCATCGTAGACACCGGAGGTATATTTTAAACATCAAATGGCCTAAAGGTATGATAAGCAACAAAGCATTGTATGAAAGGTGCAAAGTTGAAAAGTTATCCAAGCGTATCGAACACCAGCGGTGGAAGATGTTTGGACACATTCTCAGGAGTATGGAGAACACCCCAGCCCAACCGGCTCTCTCTTTTGCTATTGAATCAGATAATTTATTTATTGGAAGATTGGAGAGACTTAGAATGAACTTGTTATCTGTTTTAAGAAGTGATTTAAGTAGTACAAATTTGCACATAGATAACTTGCATGAATTAAACGAAAGATATAGCTTCATGCAAGGTATTTTTATGAATCATTTTTGTCGGTAGGATCCTGTTTTATCATTATAACAATAATCATGAAAAGTTGCAAATATTATAAATTAAATTACAAAGTTTGATTATGAGAGGTCGTTCCTTATTAAAACGAAAAAATTAATGCACAACCCACAGAGTGACAGATATAGAAACGGAGTTGGATATTCTGAGTGAATTTCGAGGTTTGATGACTTGACCTGTTTCGTAGTGAAAAAGTAGGAACTCAACTTAGACTAGACTTGGTTATTTTCTCAAGATCTGCTCAGAAATGTCGTGGTGAGAGTTAACAGTTCCTTCTGAAGAATCGCAGAATCTAATGAATACAAACTAGACCGTTGCAATAGTCTTCAAACTGGGTATTTCATAGAGATTGTATTTGTTTAAAATCATTCTCCATGCCTACCATCCCTATACGGATACCAACTGAGCTCTTTTTCAGATAATTTCGATCTCTATACCTGCCATCATTTAACGTACCGCTTCTACACCTAGTAAGAATAAATATGGCAGGCATTGATAATGCTTTAGTTGCAATCGCTACACCAACTGTGGACGGTGTTTGGTTGGTGTGGGGTATGTTTTTAAAATGAAAATCATTTCCTACCGTATCTATACCTACCTTAGTGGTAGACATGGAGAGAGGGGACCGGGAACCGGTGTTAAATGTCTAAAATCTAGCTTAATGTGTGAAAGAGGCGTAGTAACAGGTGTTTGTCTCAGGGGACCCACGGGCAGGGGGAATCTGGTGACCACACCAGTTATTGTACATTACTGTAATACTAATAGGAATCATTAAAGTTGGTGCTTATTGCTAGCTTTGTTAAGTTTGGTATTTACTGGTAGAATTACAGAGTAGAGCACAATTTCCATAGATGAATACAATTTGTGACTCCGAACGTGCACTCTATAGTCACAAAGCTATTACAATTATTGAAATATTTATTCAATTTTATGAAAGTTGTGTAACAATGTTTTAGTTTTATCCCACTCTCAGTGTCCAGACAAAGTATCTAATTATTCAGTCGCGACAGTTTATGTTAATCGATGAATTCTTCGTCTGAATTTATAAAATCTCATTATAATGGTGGCTCCTGGTAAATACTTGAAGACGTAATCTACTAATCTTCACACGTGTTTCTGACTTCCTCGGTCGATTGAAAGGTTGAAAGTTCAACTGAAAAATACCACATTTGGTCAATACAGATTCTCTTGTAACTTTGTCACGCGTGTATGGGTTTACTTTCTCTTCTCAGTGACTGTTGTAGCGGGGGAGAAAATCCACAACGTGTTTGGACCGAATATAATGGTATTGCTCTTTTTTTCAACCAAACATTCAATCGCATACACGTAAACCAAGGAAACGTGTGGTGTTTGTAGGGCTTGCTAGTGATGCTGCCCGCGTGTTGTCAGCATATAATATGCTGCTTTAATTTAGTATGATGAATTTATAACAGGAAAATTTTCAATCCAGATTTACAAAATGGTCGAGTGAATGACGACATTTGAATGATGATATTATTGATAAAATAAAATTAATTAATTGAAAGTACCCTAAGTAGAGTCGTGATTCAACTTCTAAAAATAAATTTTATCAGTATGAGAGCTGAAGGTAGAGGAGCATAGAGCTCACACACACACGTTTGACTAATCGATCTGTTATCCCGGGAGAGAAGGATTGACCCCAATGACATCAACCTATTTCATAATACTCCCAAATTATATGCGGCGTTCTTTACTTTCAGTGTAATCAAATATTTGAATAGCTACATCGACAATGGGGGATAGAGATTGATAAATGACCTGATGGAGGAGTGACGGTAGAGAGCTAGCTGTGATATCATATAGCAGGGAGGGCCAGCTAAAAGGAGGGCTGCCTCCTGCAGACTGCCAGACAAACAGACCTGAGCTCAGAGCTCGAGTCCCGTCTACCGACCCTCCCTAATCGGTCACGTGGCTAACTCATCGGTCACGTGACGCGTGGATCTAATGAGGGGAGATATTACCCGTGACCGGGAGACGGAAACCTTAGAGGACGTCGAGCTGGTAACGTGACCGGGATTAGCCTGATGCGTCTCCAGCTCTGATCCTTCACTCCTACTTTTAATGAGGAGTAATAATCTCCCGCATAAATACAATATATTATCCTAGCGATATTCAGAACATTACTAAATATTACAACAGTAGTTTTCTTTAAGGCATTGTATAAGTACTTTTAAAACTTTCTCGCGTGAGTTAGCAATGCTTACCATTGTGATATGCATCAACCGTGCTTGCCCATGTTTTGCTTGTATATTTTTTAGCTGGATTCGATATCATGTCTTATCTTATAATATCACTTTCAATCCATTTACCCGTTTTCAGATTGAAACAATCGCATTATATCTCGAATGAAGGATCATGTTTCTGAATTTTTAACCGGAAAGCCTCCTAAAATAACCGTGAAAATTATAATACAGGAAATTATGAAGCTCTCCGTAAATCTAGCAATGTTTGATTAACAGAGAGCTTCATAATTTTCTACATTTGTTGGTAACATCGTGATTTTTCTATGAATTTTATCTTAATATTAGGAGTGACTGCAAGTCTCCTGATATTGGATTATCCCATTTCGTGAAAGTATAGAATTATAATCATAGAGAAACTATTTATTGAATTTGTCCTTTAACAATAAACTAGCTGTACAGTGTGCAAGTCGAAAACAGACTGTGATTCGCCAACTCTTTTGACGTCTTTAATTTCTGATTCGTTGAAAATCTATGAACGGTTTAGAAAGTGTGATCCAGTGGTACTTAAAACGCACTTATAAAGCAAAATCAAGCTATTCTTATTGACTTTTTATTAAAACATTTCTTCGATATCACATCTTATATTAAATCTTACGAAATACTGTAAAATTCGAATTTATCACAGCTTGAAAGCTGCAATTCCCGAACCTTCTAATTTCCCTTGAGCAACGTGCTCCACCATATGCCAATAAAATTCAAAAATAGCGAACTATTATTCGCAGTTAATTGAAAAAATCAAAGGAGTTTAATAGCAAGTAAAGCTTGTCCAAATTCCAAATTATATTCTGAAATTACAGAACTCGTTCACAAGATTTCTAGTGGATTCGATCAAAAGCCCAGCTTGGACGTTTTGCTTATAACTGATGTTATATGTACTTTTAACGAAGTATCTGTACAATAAGATTACTACTGTTAATTACGTATGTCTAACATTTTCAATTTTATTGGGTAAGATAAATATCGATTAATCAGATTAAAATGTTCACAGATTCCTGCTGATATAACGAAATCGCACTGATCATATTATAATCATCAATCCTCTAACTTCCTACATTATGGTTACACCTGATTGATTATCTCGATCCAATTTCCAGTACTCTGTAAGATAAATGTAAAATCTGGAAATACTCCGAAGTGAAAATTGTCAAATTTCCACGGTAAACACACAGTTTAGAAGATCTCCACAATCGATCAATGAAGTACTTCATAACGAACCTCAACAAAAAATGGGTATTCTTTAAGCTAGACAAGCTGGTGTATGACAATAATTATCATAAACTGTTAGTGGGACGACCGGAGCACAGTCCTGCTCCCGAATGTTGGCTCAGTTTCCCGATAGAAAATTGTAACTTTCACATTCATTCCACACTACTTCAGACAGTCTGTATCACTTAATATAAACATTTCCATAATCGTGACACTTGTAATTTACGGATAAAAATAACTATGTTATTCATATTTTCATTGACTTCCCTTTCGTTGCAGCTTTCAAAAAATCTGCGTAGTTACAATTCCTAATATACGACATTACATCATTGTTGCTCACCAACTGATTCGTAACCTCCCCCCCCCCCCCCCCCCCCACTCTGAACTGTCTTCCCATTAAAGCTTTAAGATTGAGAAACCAAACACAGCTCAACACTATCGCTACGTCAAACAAATGAGCTAATAATGTCACCCCGTACCAGGAGAAATAGAAAGATGTTACTTATAGAAGAGGTCAGAACAACCAGATAGCACCCTACAACATGTTCTTCCTGCTGGTATGTAGCTTGCTCTGCCAGATAACCACCGCCCAGATCAACACCGTCACTGAGGAAACCCCCGCTGAGGAGAGCTGCTCTTTCGAGGAGATCATTGAGAGAAAACGCCAGGCTGTTAAGGTATGAACTTCATTACTATTAGGAATCTTCGTGCTTTTTAGACGAGGACTTTTTTCAAATATTTCTGTAGCCCACTCGCTTTGCTCAAAGTTATTTTACGGTTGTTTGAATATTTTCATAGGATATAAATATCCGATCACACACATAACAGCATTTTCAAGTAAGCGATGCATTTTTTAATGTATTTATGTTCCAATAAGAGATCGTTCACATACTACTTAAGGCGGTTTAGTGGAGGAGGTTTTAAAAAGCTTGTAATTTCAACACGATAGCAAGTTAAGTGGAGGGCCAGGGGTGGGTCTAAAATGGCCTAAACGTCTTACGTAGTATGTGGTCCTGTGCCTACTAATATTATGATTTGAAAATTGATAAAATTACAGGCCATTCGCAAAATTTTATAATATTATGTTAAGTACATACTGGAAAGAGGTGCCAGCGGGCCTGTGTTTCCTAAAGAAGCTAAACTGAAAGTGACAGTATCAATGGAAAATCTGAAATCTTACCAAAAGGAATCAATCTGGGATAACTTCTAGGGGTTTGACATTTTACAAGTACAATTCTAAGCTTTGACACCAAACTTTGACATGTTCTATTAAGTGAGACTGAAAATTATTCCTGGATAAACGTACCATTATCAAGCCATACAATAATTCTAGAATAAAGCATTAGTCTCCCCTCCAAACCACAGTTAAACCAACTTCCCAACTTGCGGTTTAGGTCGGTTTTAAGTTTCCGGAGCACCCGCCATTTTACAGACGGGCGTGTTGACTGATCCACTAGGACGGATCTCTTTCACCCATTTGGGTCCCGGTATGAACAGCCTGACCCCGGTATGAAGAGCTAACGCCTGACTTTTCTAAGCGGGATTCACGTACCATCACGTGGAGAAATGTACCTGATGTCCTCCAAATGTAACGGTTTACCCGAGAGGTGATATAAGGCAACAATAGAAAATACTGCATATTAGTAATATTATTAGTAATGATAATTAAGGTCAAATTGAGCAGTCTAAAATTCACCGATTTTTTATGAATTTCCTAAATTTTTAATCATCATAAAATGACACAATGCTAAAAATGTCGCATTTTTTTCCACAACTTTCTGGCAAGATAACGAAAATAATTAAACCATTTGTCATTCTCCAGATTAGAGTATATAAGTTACATTTTTTTCCTGTGAGGGAAATGTGGACGAGAAGATTCTGGAATTGAAACGATTTATGATTAATACCATGAAAAAGGTTGAGGAATTGGAGATTTTTTAGCTATTCCGTAAAATCAAATTATCAATTATCATCATCCGCTAACAACTAAATTAAACCATTCACTATTATAAACTGTTCAGTTTCCATGGAGCCTCACTTAGGCTTACATGCAGACCTCGAAACATAATGACTGCATGAAAAGTGACAAATGAATAATTTGTGAATGAATATATACTGAAACCACGCTTTTAATACCAAAAAATCATGCTGTCTTGATGTTTCCCATGTTAAATGAAACCATTGTCTAGATCCAGCTGTTAACAAAGCTAAACATCAGAAGTTTGCCTAACAATACGAGAAATGACATTCCGGAAGATGTTCGTAGACAGATAGCAGCAATTTACCAGGTTTGTGTATTTTTCTGAACTTATTACATTTCATGATCAAAATGTGCTATGGAATGTTATGCAATTTTTTGTCAAAGAGCTTTCCTTGAGCTGTGCCTTCAAAGCTTCAATATATCTTCAAGATGATACCCAGTATTAACTTGCTCGACTGTTTGATTTCCATGGATTACATAATGGTAGCACGCTTCTAGTTATAATAATGAAACGTGAAAATCTCCGATCAATTTGCTTTCGAAGGCGGGCGAATCAAGCCAACTCATTACTGAGCTGACAGTTACAGAGGCAGTATTTACACAGTTATAAAAAGTTCTTGCCTATTACAGATTCAAAACTATCACGTAATGCGGTAATGCATCAAAAGAAATGCTGTGAAATGTCATGCAATTTTTTCCCCAAAGAGCTCTCCTTGAGCTGTGCCTTCAATATATCTTTTAAATTATACCCAGTATTAACTTGCTCGACTGATTGATTTCCATGGACTACATAATTGCATTTAATGATGGTTGATATTTTGTCAGGTGTGGGAGACTGCTATGCCAAAACTTTAATGATTCAAGTTGGTTAGTTGGTGTCAGTCATTTAATGTGTATTGATATAGCATTTGGTGAGATGATGTAATTTTTATCCAACTAACAATCGCATGAGAGCTCATAAAGTAACTCACACCATCAAGCGCAGGATAGCTAAGAAAGGATACGTCTTATGAGTCTTTCTAGATATAGAGGGAGCCTTCGATAATGTCTCTTTCAAGGCTATTTCTGACGCTATCAAGACCACGAAAGTGGATTTGGCCACAGCACAATGGATAATCAACATGGTAACTAACAGATTCATCACATTAAATCATAAGGATAAGTCGAGAAGGGTTCGGATCCGGAGATGGTGCCCCCAAGGAGGCATTCTTTCCCCTTTCCTCTGGAACCTGGTAGTCGATGATCTCCTGGCCTACACTGCTAAAGACATACCGGATTATCTGCAAGCTTTTGCGGATAATCTGGTTTTTCTAGCGGAGGGGAATGATTTGGATATCATCTGCGACAGAACACGCAAAACCATCAACACGATAGAGAAATGGTGCCAAACCAAAGATCTATCCATTAGCGCACTCAAAACACAAATAGTCAGATCATGTTTACCTGGAATAAGAAATGGACACTAAGACCTGTGGTGGTGGGTAACACCACTATAGATCTATCCAAATCTGCCAAATTCCTAGGAGTGACCCTTGACAGCAAGCTCAACTTCAACGAACATATCACCAATATCATCAAAAAAGCTACGGCATCCCTTATACAATGTAGAAGAGCTGTCGGCACTCGGCCCCACATGGGTCATGGGGTATGAGCCCCAAAACATGCTAATGGATGTATACCGCTGTCATCAGACCTATTCTATCATACTGCTGTAGTATATGGATCAGGGCAACCCAAATAGACACCAATGCGAGGAAGTTGAAACGAGTTCAGGCATTGGCATTGAGAATGATGTCTGGTGCCATGCCAAGTACTCCCCTCATCGCATTGAACCACCTCACTAACACTTCAGATATCATACTTTCCCTGAGAGGCGAAGCAGCAAAGGGCACTGCCAGGCTTCAAGCCTACGGTAGCCTAACCCTAGAAACTATCGCCTTCAGAAAAGGTAACATCAAAACTCACACCACCATCAACAAACAATTCATGGTAGATCTCAACATACCATCCAAAGCAGAGAGAGACCTATCAATACCAACCATGATGCTTGAACGGCATTTCACAGTCAACACTCCTGGAGCTGACAACATTGAATATAGGGATTCACTTTAAAACACCATCGGCAACATCTCCAGTGAGACGATCACCTGCTACACAGACGGGTCACGCACAGACTTATGTAGCGGGGCTGGCTATATCATCACCACCGACAATAACAACACTACCCTAGAGGAAAGATCATTCAAGCTTCCTGATTATTGCACTGTTTATCAAACAGAGCCCACCGCCATCATCGAAGCTTGCAAATATCTCTCAACTTATACCAACAAACACATCATCATATGGTCTGACAGTCTCTCCTCTATACATTATACATGCTATATCCTCGCTCTGAACGAGGAGTAGAACTACTAGAGACTGTTATGACACCCTCAATGCACTCGGATCCACCAACACTCCGAGATCCGATGGATAGTTGCACACATCGGATTGTGGGGTAATGAAAAAGCAGATGAGCTGGCCAAGATTGGCACAACCAGTGAATCCATTTTGAAGTTCCCTATTCCACAATCTTACATCAAACGCCTGATCGACGACAAAGTCACCAGACTAAATCAGGAAATCTGGTTAACTGATGGACCCAGACACACCAAACTGACACTTGGTCACAAACACATCAACATCATCAAAAATCTTAACACTACACTCAGCAACTACAGACAAAATTACAGAACTGCAGTGCACCTCATCACGGGATATTGTGGCTTAAACAAACACCTCATACCATTTGCGAATCAAGCACCAGTACTAATGAGCGGCGACGGAGAGGAAACTGTCTCACACTTTCTAGGACAGTGTCCGGCTATTGCCAAATAAGAGGTCAATATTTCCAGGACTATTACCTCTCGTCAATAAATATTCGACAACCAACACATCTCCACTATTGTCAACTTCGCAAACCGCACCAAACGCTTAATTGTGCCAGAGGAGCTGGACCAGACTGGTGTGACTACTCACACATCGTCTTAGTTCACCTTTCTCTTCCGGCTTCCGCACCAAGTTGCGTTCATACACGACACATCTTACAACACTTACCATCATCTTACATTACACATTCTGATTCCCCCTGCATCCTCCCATAGGACTGCCATACCCCAGAGGTAGGCAAAGCATCCACATGCTATCCTCTCGTGGGCCACCCAGGCCCAGCCTCTCTTTATAAAAAAAATTAAAAATTCGCATGAGAGCTCCATTACAGCCATCTGTATTGATTTCTATAGTTCGATCAAAACACAAACATGAGCTTAAGACACCCCAAACCTTGAAGTCTTTAAACAAGATGGTTACACGAACTCTTGGTGTTAGGGCGACTCTATGGAATGAAAACTAGCTAATTATTTAAGAAGAATTGTGCAAAATCAGGAAAAACATCTACCTTACTCGGGAAAATTATAGCGGGTTAATTTATGACTGGGAAAATTAATGACCGGGAAAAATATGGCGGAATTTTCCAAAACCCACCAAGCATCAAAATGTATTACTATTAGTTTACCTTATTCGGGAACATTATAGCGGGTTAATTTATGACTGGGAAAATTAATGACCGGGAAAAATATGGCGGAATTTTCCAAAACCTACCACTTTATCCCAGTCATAATATTCCCGAGTAAGGTATTTAGAAAGTTTGATAAGGAGCCATCTAATTAGGACGTCCGGCAAATAGGGAGGGGGTGGTTTTGGAATTTCGGACAAATCCGGACAAGGGGAGGGGGGGGGGGGTTTCTGAAAATCCGGACGTCCGGAAATTTTGGCAGAATTTACGAAAAAGTCCCATTTATTTCAACTCTTGGACACTAATTACTTTGTAAGTTTAGATCCCTGTATTTTGAATGAGAAGTCGATTCCCAGAGCAGCTCATGAGAGCCTAGTTTTATTCGTACTCTTAAAATTAGCTGGAAATCCGGACGTCCAAGGGAGGGGTGGTTTTGAAAATTCGGACACACCCGGACAGGGGGAGGGGGGTAATCTGAAAATCTGCAATTTTGGCGGACGTCCTAAGTAGATGGCCCCTTATGCAAAAGGATGGTAAAATAGTTTCAAATAGTTGTCGACTAAAATCTCAATTCAGGAGATGATAAATGAGGACCGGGGTAGACAGAGAGACGATGCGAGAAGTCGTCCTCCTAAAACTAAACAAAACCTGCTGTTCCCCGAAGCAGGTAATTCACCTTACGTCTGTTAATAGAACAAAAATTGCCACAATCTATGGTTATTTTCCGTTATTCTACGAGTAAACACTATCGACTGTTCACAACACATTGTAATGGTGAAGACTAAAACAGGTGCAACATTTCAGTGAAGGAGCTAGGAAGCAACACGTTACTCTACACTTGGTCAGTACAGACAGGAGGAGTAATGGTAGATAGAGCAGAAATACACCTCCCTGCCGAGCTCACTGTGCCTTCCCTCCGGGTCTACATCGTCAACAATCCCTCCGTTTACTCCGAGACTAAACCCAGACGGGAGGGTTTGGAAAGGCTGTTCGGTGACTTCGGTGACTTCGGTGACCGGATCATTGACGTTACAAAACATTGGAGGAGATGGACCCTGGACGCCAGTACGAATCACGGGATCCTGTTTTGTGTTGGACGGTGTTTCTCGGAGAACAATACACTGGAGATGTTTGGTTCTAAACCGTACATCACGGTGGAGATCGCTGCAGTGGACAACAAGAGGAACAAGAGGTACGGTGGTTCCCGCAGTAACACCTCACCCCAAACCTGCACCAACTTCCCACGCCAGTGCTGCAAGAAGGACCACTGGATAACCTTCAAGGAGGTGGGTCTAGATCACATCATCTTGGAACCCCAGGCTTACAACGCAGGGCTCTGTCTGGGAGTTTGTAACGAGATGTGGTTGGAACAGTTCTACCACTCTCACGTCATGTCCCTGTCGGAGAACGTCAAGGCCAGGAACTGCTGCTCTCCAGTCAGTGTGGACTCCCTCAGGATCATCTACTATGACAAGGAGAATGACACTCACAAGTTCGAGATACTTCCCAACATGGAAGTGACGGAGTGCGGGTGCAAGTGAACACTGACAAAATGAGCATGTTTCATAGCTTTAGGATGATTAAAACGTGATTTATTACCGATAACTTTGTGCTGAGTTACTCCGGTAGGTGTGAATAATAACCTGATGTTAAGTATGATTTTCCCTGTAAATCTCATTTGCCTGTTTAAATTACCTTTACGACGAATAAATTTGATATTTATGTGGTAAGATGATTAATCATCGCCGCGTCTTGTCTCGTAACTAATTTAATCAGTTTACCGCAGAATGTTAAATCATCATTTTGGGAGTATGAGAGCATTATAGTAACAGTTACAACAAAGAACCCTGTTTCAACGAACCAAACTTACTATGTAACTATTTAATTAAGTTTGGCGGCCAAGTGAACATGTTTGCGATAATTTTGCGAGACATTGACTTAGTTGATTTATTATCTTTTACTACATTAATTCTACAATGATAATGTAAATTATGTGACCCAAGAGACTAATCCGCTGAATTGTTTGAAATATCATCAAAGCAGTTTAAGTTCGATTATAGAAGAAAGATCACTAAAAATATTCTAACTTATTTAAAGTTCTGTCAAAAATTATGAACCTTTTTATTCCAGATTTTTAATTAAATTATCTAATTTATGTAATATGTGTTATTTTTATTTCTATTTTTTGAAAGGGGTAGGTATTCACTACTCAGCGCCCCAAAAAAGGATATATAACATTTTGAAACTTTGCCTGCCCCAGAATTGAATATAATGCCCACTGGGCATTATACCCAGTGCAGTAAATGTAAGAAAGTATGGGAATGGAAACTAGCAATATGAAAGTATAGCGGGTTAAGCGGATTGACTTGATTCTGGAGTCCTGGAAAGTGGAAAATGTGTGTCTAGAAGAGCGACCAAGTTGAGGAATGTGACCCCGGATATGACCAACTATACATAGCCTCGATAAATAGGTTTCTGTGAGTTATGGTAGTTATTTGAGTTTGTTAACCTAGAACACGGGAAACGATTCATATCAATTAAATGGTCACTTCAAAAACAAATATAACAAACAAAATTCTAAAACCTAAAACAAGTCACTGCAGTATTGAAAACCAATTACTATTCCAAAAAAACTAATCAGTCTAGCTAGCGCAAGCTTAGATGAGAGATCTTTTGGTCCCCAACAAAAACAACAACACCATAACAATAGCGTGGCAAGGAATCCTATCCGATTCTAACTACACTACAGATGCAATGCATTGTTAACTAGAGTTAATTGAAAACTAATTAAAATGAAAAACATTAAATTCCTGCACCTAAATCAATACCGTGGTCTCAGGATCTGACAGGAGTGCTAAATCTGAGAGCAATAAAGGAGTTCTGAGATCTTTTCTCCAGTTCGTATAGCTCCTTGACACTCTGGCTGATCTCAGCAGCATGTCCTTGGTACATGTTACCACCACCAGTCTTCCTCCGAGCTCCGTAAGTCACTTTACCTGTGAGACACATATCATTAGCATAGTTTATTATTGTGTAGTTAGAACCTTGTAATTGTGTCATTATAAATGGAGGAGGAGCTTAAGTTTTAGTAATTTCAATCAATTTCGAAATTTGGGCCAGAACCAAAAACTTACAATTTGCCAGATTTTCAGTTAATATTTACTGATGAGTGAGGAGATGAGCTCTGCTGCACAGGTGCATGATGCTTGGATGATTCAAGTATTGTGTTTTGTAATAAAATAAAATAAAGTAAATTAGTAATCACATTGTCTATTGTTCCCCGATAAGTTGATATTTGCAAAAAACTGAACTTAATGGATTGCAGAGACCTCTATATCACGTTTTGATGCATTTACATTCTGAGTATTTTGCGAATGTATTAAACGAGTTCGGGGCTCAGGCATGACCTTAGACGTTAATTATTGATTATAAACACTCTATCTTTAAATCAAAGTGTGAGCTGTAAATTAAGGGGATATGACCACAATCCTACGTACACACGTCATATTATCACTCAGAAGCTATGTATTACGCAGGTCTATGATACAAAAATTTGATTAGGTTGGGTTCATCCAAATCCGTTTACCTTACGTTACGTAATAAAGTAATAAGGGTGGACCGAATTTGGTTGGTTTTCAGGAACACCCTTTGCCGGTAAGGAAATAAGTTTCAAGCACAATTTCTTTTTCCCGACCTAATCGGTTCTTCATTCCAACAAGAAATGCGGCCTCTTTTCTTTTGTAGTTTTGTGGATGGCCACTAAATTTCCCGATCCGTGATGGCGTATTTTATCATATTCCATAACACCCTGGGGACTCAGTCTTTACTGTTTATAAGCATGCAGATATGGCGGAGTGACAGGCCGAGCGCCGCCCAGTTAATTCCATATTGAATTTGAAAATAGTGTATATTTCTATGTAACCATATGTTTATTGTTTATGCAACCTGACACAGTGACACGGATCTGTGCAAAATAGTAATACTAACTCGAAATAATAACAATATGCTATCAATTAGTGGGATACTTAACAATTAACAATTTACTATGTCAGTTCAGCGCCCGCGCCAACAATTATTTAATTCAGAATATCGCGCAAAATAACTTTGCACAGTCTAGTTGCTAGTTAGGAACGTGGGCGACATATAAATTGGCGCGCGGGCACGTATGCTCGTTTGTTTGTACTACGCACGACGGTCACAAGCTACCATATATGGAAAAAACCTCGTTCGCTAACCCTTCCTAGACTATTTTGTGCCTTCGGCACTTGAGTCATGGATCAGAAAAAAATTATAAGAATTGTCGGGTTCATCAAATACGGAAAGTTTAAATACATAAATCTAAAAGTTAAATATGGCGACAATGTTTTGACATTAACAAATCTAAATTAGACATTTGGGCCAGCGTTTTGCTGATCAAGTTCGAAATTTGATGTTTGTGGTCATATCTTCCTGCAGTGCAAGCCCTTCCACTTTTTTGTTTTCTGACCCAAGAACCTTCCTCTCAACGGCATCACGGAAAATTAGTGGCAATAATGTAGGATTGTCGCGGTTATAATGAATGTAAACCTCGTACTGCTCTAGGGGCGAGGATTACACTTTTAAAAGTATCGAATATTTGTGATAGCCTAACCACAGTTCGGGAGTATGAAACACCCATTAGTCATAATGCCACAGCAGCTCAAGGATAGCTTTACACTATTTTCTGGCTGTGGTCCAAGTTGCTATAAATAATCGAAAGATTGTTTGCTATATACGCGCCTAAACTCTAAATAATGCGCGTCAAGCAATGTTGTTTAAAATACTGATCGATAAACAAGTTTCCCGTTGCGCCCTACAAAACAGTTTTGTGTAGACCTCATGAAATAATATTTATGACAGAGCACTATGATTTAATCCTGTCTATAACACAGTACACGCACCGTCAAATTCGTTGATGGGAATTTCAAACGTCTTTTCTATAATCGGTAAACTGTCATCTATGTACTCTTCTAAATCTCTGAAGATAAAAACATTAATTAAGGTCTCAAAAGAAAATAATTAAAACAGGCATCAATTTAAATTGATAAAAACATTTATTTTTTAAACCGATTTCCTGCGAATTATTTAAAAAATATATGAGACAGAACGTACCTTAAAGCTTTAGGTTCGTCATACCATATACAGCAGCCTCCTCTATCAATAAGGTTAGTGTTGAAACATCCTTTACCTCTGTTGTTACAGTTACTATGGTACCACACCTGAAATAGTACACTGATAGAGGCTACACTGTTAAACAAACTACCTTACTCGGGATTATTACGACGGGTTTATTAACGACCGGTTAAAATATGGTTCGGGAAAAATATGGCGAAATTGCTCAAAACCCACCACATTTTCCCGGTCGCCATTTTACCGGTGTCCAACCTTTCAATTTTAGATTCAAAAATTTTGTCTCAGATGTAAATTTCCTTATTAGAGATAAGCAAGTTTAGAAATTTTCGTATTGCTAAAACTTGTGAAACAAGTCGAATTATCAATAATTGTTGAAAGTAGACAGAAATAATGACTCGTGGTTAATCAAACTAGATGGAAAATAATTTTTAACATTTGAAGCGTAACAACCAGATCGATATTAAGATAAAGGGAGAGCTGTTTAGTCTTCCAATAAGTTGTAATCATCTTCGTTATCTTCATCTGGATCATCCCTTTCATCAGTTTTAATTAATTCAAGTTTTAATTTAACTGTTACTTTTACTTTGAGTCCTATTTCATTATGTAGAGATAGTCAATACCTAAGAAATTAAAAATTGGCCTATTTAAATCAAATTTGACAATAAGGATATATGACAAGAATTGGGCAAAAAGGTGAATTTTTTGCAATTTTAGCCAAATGAAGTCGAAAAACCTACAACAAGTGTCCCAATAGTCTTCTTTAGTGAATATAAGACAACGATTAAAATATGAGCACCCATACCCCTTGGGAACCCTAAAAGCTGAGTAGGCGAGTTTATTAACGACCGGTGAAAATGTGGTTCGGGAAAAATATGGCGAAATTACCCTAAACCCACCACTTTATCCCGGTCATAATAATCCCGAGTAAGGTAAATATAAAACAAAAACAAACTAAATAATATAAAACATTTCGCGTCCATTTCACTTCCAAACTCTGAACCTTCAATTGCTCTCATTGTAATAAAAATACAAACACATGAATCAGACATTACCTTCTCTTTGACAGTAGAACTAAATGAAATCGCTAGTCCCATTCTGTCAGCCCGACCTACACGACCTGATAGAAAATTACGGTATTATCAAACTGTGAAACTGTGTACTATTACTCTTATCTCGAAGAGAACTTTATCTGGCATCGACGTTTGTGTACATATCATAAACCTATTCTTGGACATAATTTGCGATGTGGGCAAAGAAACAAATCCAACACAGGAAAAGATTGAATTTACTAACCAGTTCTGTGAATAAAGTTAAGAGTTTCATCTGGCAGAGTGTAGTTGATAACAAAAGGGATCCCCTTCACATCTATACCCCTAGCTGCAACATCTGTACATATCAGAAACTTGCATTTACCGTCTTTAAACGTTTGTAGGTTAGCTTTTCGTTCATTTGGACGACGATCTCCATGTAAACAAGTACACGAATATTTAATACTGTCTAATTTGTTGAGGAATCTTTCCAGATTGTCACAATCAAGTTTAGTTCTACAAAACACGATGCACTGTTCATTGTGCATTTTCAACTTTTCTACTGCCGCAATAAAGTATTTTGCTTTAAGTATCTTGGTCGCTTCGGACAACCCCAAATCTTTTTGAGAGAGATCGTCCTGTTGGTGAACCCCATCAGTTTTAACCTTGAGTCCCTTGTCTGTTTGCCAGGACCTGTCCAACTCAGGGTTCACATAACACTTGACATGGTGCACTGTCTCCGGAACTACGTCCTGTCCCTTCAGATCCACCCAGTTAGGGAAGTGCATGATTTCTTGTGCTAACTTCTTTACGTCAAAGTTGTGGAGCGTTGCCGAGCAAACTATCATCTGTAGTCGTTTTCCGTCGATCAGTTTGTCGAAGGTATCGTACATTTTCAGGATCAGAGCTTTGTGGTCCTGCTGAAGGAGACCGTCTGCCTCGTCCAGTATGAAGAACCTGATGTTTTCTAACTTGAGGTTACCCGTGTCGATCAGGTCCTGGATACGACCTGGTGTCCCAGTGACAATATCCAGTCCGTGGTTTAGTTGTGAGATCTGTTCCTTTACCGAAACTCCACCTGAAATAGAAAATAGAAAACCCTCAGACAAATGTGAACAGTTTCAAAAAAGCAACGTCACAACGCAAATTTTTAAACATGGAAAATAATTCGTCAACATTATAACTTAGGTACAAATGATGAAGCACTCACCAATGAAGACAGCACTTTTCAACCCTGGTGCGGGCAGATACTTCTTAAACATACAGATCTGAGTATGAGTTTGTTCTGCCAATTCTCTGGAAGGTTCCAGAATAACCGCCATAGGACCTGAACGCTTCTTACCCTCCTTAACAGCACCAGCTACCAGCTGACTCGGGTCCGCTTTACTGATTGGCTGGTAATCAAAACCAGGGGCATGTTTGAAGGGTGTCTCTCCAAAGTTGAAGGTGAGGGAAGAGTTTTTGAGGGTGCAGGCAACGTAGAACGCTTCTCCGCTCAATTTCCCGGGAATATCAAATGCAACGTCAAAATATCGTCCGTTTTTGGAATACGAGATGGTTTTTTCTGTCAGATCAATAAAACAGCCCATGACGTCACCCTTACCAAATGCTGTTCCGTACGAGTCAAATCTGCTGCTGTTAGACTTTTTACCTGTTCCCCCAAAACCAAATCCATACTCGTCTTTTCCTGAAAATTATTCATAGTTAAATTTGGGAGTGAACGATATTGTGCAATACTTATTTAATACACTATGACAAGTACACACAGATCTGTCACTAGTGACAGGTCTGCAGCATTATCTACATCTTTTACCTAATATCAGGATGTAAATCATACATATCAAAAGTGAATGTGAGTGTTGTAGATGGGCAAGAAGAGAGCTTCACAAATATGATATAGAGTGTCATAACTCATAGTGCTGGTAAATGTCCCCCCCCCCCCCCCCGCCCCCTCCCCTTCCTATGACGAAGAACCTCAAGGACATGAACCTACAAAATATCCCCCTAATAACACACCACTACCTTCTAGTTCTTAATATACATATTATGTGGAATGTGCATAACACCTATGTTATATAGTGTATTTATTCTGCACCAATTCTGTGAAATGAAAGTGCAATTTGAGACGTATTTCTTTTACTGAGTCATGAGAACAATCACCACTTGGTCTCGTACAGCTAAAGCTGGAACCTTGCCAATAACTATGCTTTTGTTTAATATTTCTGAGGTTTTATGATCGCAAAATCATCCAATAATTATACTAAACAACAGGTGACGGCTGCATAAGAATTACACTACAATACTGTTGGAGTTTTGAGTCGGTGACCCACAAAACAATAACAAACAGATGTGCCAGTAATTATATTGTGTTCTTAAAATTTAATCTGTTGAATGAAGATCACAGCCTTCTTGTAAAAACACTCGAGAACAGTATTGAGATTTATTATGGGCAAACAAGTGAAATGGTGTTTTCATAATGTTAGGTGAACACTGAACACGAACCATATTTAACATATTTATGAGTTCGTTTATCTTTAAATTTCAGATTGTGTTTTAAGTTAGAATTGTCCCACATTTGGAGTAAAGCTGTGTTGAGAATAACATACATATTAGATACTAAGTACTATCTACTACACTACTACACAGTGTACATTTAAACTTTAACGTCTCATTATTATATGCGACACATATATATGAAGTGTGAGGCATAATTATGTTTAATTGTTAAACGGGGTATAATAATATGTAATATCGGGAATATTACTTCTTCAGTAATCTAGTTTCTCAGGAAGTACAGTCTGCATTGCATTGTGTGATAAACTGACTTATATACACTATATACAGTGTAGAATGTAATTGGGTACATCACACTATCACGTTTCATAATGTACATTTTGCTCACATGACATATTGTACAGTTTGCTACACAAAACAGATCATCATGCCGTCTCTACTTTCTACTGTTTTACAATTCAGCTATTGTACAATGTACAGCGTACAATGTAAAATGTACATTGTACATGGTAGTGTTTTCACCTTACCAGTTATCACCATGAGCTGATATTAAATTACAAATTGATCAATATCAAATTACTAACTAATTAGATAATTTTTATCTTTTATTATATAGAGCTATTATAACTCAACCTACCCAGTTCTTGATAAGCATCAGCAGTAGCGAACCCAATCCTGCACAGTCCGTTATCAGTGATAGTAGCCTCGTAGTAATGCTTCCCACCGACCACGCCCTTATCTGACCTCCCCCCTTGCCAGCGGTATTGATCAGCGTTGCGCACCGCTAGCCCGGAGACTGTAAACGCTGCGTCCCGGTCTGTTTCAGACATTTTAAACTCTTTAGACGCCTCTTTCTTCGTTGTGGACACTGATATTGAAGTCAGTTATGGACTAAAAGTTTTTTAAACTATATTGATGTTTTGTAAGAAAATGTCGGGATAATACCAACCTAAAACGCTCCGAAGTGTTGGTGAATCCAACACAAGCCGATAAATGCTAGTAAAGAGAAGCTAGCAATAAACCCACCTCCGTTTTTAGTCTCCCACACAGCCTGGATAACAGGAAGTGAGAAAGCTCCTGTTTTACCACTTCCGGTTTCAGCCGCCATCAATACGTCTCCACCTGACATGATATTTTTAGCTCTTTTATCTTATGACTCATTAGTCATTACTTTGCATATTGTTGTTCATAGTATGACTCTTTGACCTTGTGACTTATTAATATCCGTATGTTGACTGTTGAACTGTTTCTTATAGTTTCAAGTGGTGAGTTGTGGGAGAAGGTGTGGAAATTGAAATATCAGAATTTTAAAAGTATTGTCAGATGGTGAAAATAAATAGAGACATTACTTGTTGAGCACAAATACGTTTGATAGTCCCAACTGTTATGCAACATACTATGTATGTGACTACGCTACAGTACAATATTTTGATATCGTAATGCTTAATACCTTACCACTATTTTAAAGCTATCAAGCTTGAAAATATTGATAACTGGAAATTTCAGAAATTATTTCTAGTATTTAACAAACCTTCTAAAATGAGGGGTACAGCTTCCTGCTGCACATCAGTATTTAACAAACCTTCTAAAATGAGGGGTACAGCCTCCTGCTGCACATCAGTATTTAACAAACCTTCTAAAATGAGGGGTACAGCTTCCTGCTGCACATCAGTATTTAACAAACCTTCTAAAATGAAGGGTACAGCCTCCTGCTGCACATCATTATTTAACAAACCTTCTAAAATGAGGGGTACAGCCTCCTGCTGCACATCAGTATTTAACAAACCTTCAAAAATGAGGGGTACAGCCTCCTGCTGCGCATCAGTATTTAACAAACCTTCTAAAATGAGGGGTACAGCTTCCTGCTGCACATCAGTATTTAACAAACCTTCTAAAATGAGGGGTACAGCCTCCTGCTGCACATCAGTATTTAACAAACCTCCTAAAATGAGGGGTACAGCCTCCTGCTGCGCATCAGTATTTAACAAACCTCCTAAAATGAGGGGTACAGCCTCCTGCTACACATCAGTGTTTAACAAACCTTCTAAAATGAGGGGTACATCCTCCTGCTGCGCATCAGTATTTAACAAACCTTCAAAAATGAAGGGTACAGCCTCCTGCTGCACATCAGTATTTAACAAACCTCCTAAAATGAGGGGTACAGCCTCCTGCTGCACATCAGTATTTAACAAACCTCCTAAAATGAGGGGTACAGCATCCTGCTGCACATCAGTATTTAACAAACCTCCTAAAATGAGGGGTACAGCCTCCTGCTGCACATCAGTATTTAACAAACCTTCTAAAATGAGGGGTACAGCCTCCTGCTGCACATCAGTATTTAACAAACCTCCTAAAATGAGGGGTACAGCCTCCTGCTGCACATCAGTATTTAACAAACCTCCTAAAATGAGGGGTACAGCCTCCTGCTTCGCATCAGTATTTAACAAACCTCCTAAAATGAGGGGTACAGCCTCCTGCTGCACGTCAGTATTTAACAAACCTTCTAAAATGAGGGGTACAGCTTCCTGCTGCGCATCAGTATTTAACAAACCTCCTAAAATGAGGGGTACAGCCTCCTGCTGCACATCAGTATTTAACAAACCTTCTAAAATGAGGGGTACAGCCTCCTGCTGCACATCAGTATTTAACAAACCTCCTAAAATTAGGGGTACAGCCTCCTGCTGCACATCAGTATGTAACAAACCTCCTAAAATGAGGGGTACAGCCTCCTGCTTCGCATCAGTATTTAACAAACCTCCTAAAATGAGGGGTACAGCCTCCTGCTGCACGTCAGTATTTAACAAACCTTCTAAAATGAGGGGTACTGCCTCCTCCTGCACATCAGTATTTAACAAACCTCCTAAAATGAGGGGTACAGCTTCCTGCTGCACGTCAGTAGGAAGTAACCAGTCCATCTCTTCCAGCCCAGCACATATCTCCGCCATTATACCCAACTCTTCAAACGCTGCCATGTCTTACCGGGCTCAATGCTGTGGTTAGGGGCTGGTGTTGCGTCTGTTTTCAGGGAATCTATTATATTTATTAAAAACAATTGTTTTGAACTGTTTATGTGAATCTGAATTTTAATTTTGAGTTTTAGTGATTTTGATTCATTTAATAAGCTGTTGAAGTTTTGACACTTAGAATGAAACAATGTTTAATATTTTGTAATTTTAGAGTCTAATACAGAAATCACCATTCTAAGAATCTATTATTAACACTGTTTTTCTATCGATCAATCAATTATTGACAGCAGACGTAAACACCAATGGCAGCAAAAATATCCAAAATATTTAACTTTCAAGTACCAACAAATTGTACATAGAGATTTTGAAAAAAATGGACAGTAACAAATATGGAAACTTGACAGGGTTTTATTTACCACTACATACGATCTTGTTTTTATATGCTTTCAAATCTATCAGACTAGTCCATATGACTTAGTTTTGACTTCCATTTCAGAAACGTATTTAATACACTATATATTATATAAAGATCATTAAGATGAGAAAATGTAACAGTGATCAATGATCTTTTTAAAAGAGCACATGTTTCAAGAAGAGCCTTATGTAATCTAACAGCTAATGTACAACTACATTACTAAACTACACATAAATATCAAATAGCGTATCTATCTGGAGTTTATTAGATTATACAAAGTACATTCTCTAAGATGAACGAGAGTAGCAAATACGAGGATAAATTAAACACATTACACTAGTGCAAGTCTACCACGCCTTGATTAACGAGGTTTTAAGATATTTCATATTCGAAGAACAAAAATCAAACGAATAACGATAATCAAACTAAGTCTCAGATTGTGGATAAAACAGGCAAGATGTTTCATGCAGCTCAGATCACACCGCAAACATAATACAGTTTTTAGGTTTTAAGGTAAAGTAAGTTTACCATGATAATATGTAAAATAGGTGTGTCTACGTCTGCTTGCTACAAACTAAAATGGCAGCAAGATGCTTCTTAACTTTATTGGTCCTTTAATATTTTGATCGAGATCTAAAATTTCTGAATACGAAAATAGAGTACACTCTTTCAGGAAGTGTAAAATCGCGAAAATCGTCCAAAGTCTTTGATCATTATGTGAGTTTTGCAAACTCATCTGTTAGGATGCAGAGTGTAGTTTTGTAGGGTACGTCGCTCCGATACTCGTATCCTCCAATCGTTTTGGCAGTTAGAACGGAACGAAGTCTCCAAACTGCACCCACAAAATCTGCAAGTTGAAATTGAAACTTTTGTCACCTTGATATCTACACTCTACAGGCTGGTTTGTGAATAAGTGCGCGAGGTAGATCGAGGCGTCATTAACTTAACTCAATATATCACTGAATAACTTAAATATTTTAGTGTGTCACATTTACCTGTACTTTTACGCGTATCCAAAGTCTCTGTCGGGGAACATAGCGGGAGCAGCAAGGGTCCAGCAGTAGATCGCATAACAAATCCAGGAGGAAGTTATCTTAACCCACAGAGAGGTCTTGCTGAAGGCTCCACTCACGAGACTATCAGTAGTGGCATTCCACCAATCAGTGAGGACCAGCATTAGGTAGAACACGGCTATCATGAACATGAAGTGGAAGAAAGAGTAGCTGTACGCGACTCCATCCTCTTCGTTGTCGTACACTCGGGGTTTTCCGTCCTGCACGCGGGGAATTGCTTGTATATATTATGTTTATTTTAGAGTTAGTTACATATTTATATGTCATTATAGAGAGGTTAGAGAGTCGACTGAGAATTCAAGACTTAATTAACAATTGGACTGAACACAATTAAATAAAACCTTCATTATTACTGAGTTAACCAGTCACCACTCACCTCGATATCATCACTGCCTCCATCAGCGCTAGTGCCGGTGCAGCCCAACAAAGCACCCTCCTCACCTCCCACACCCAGCTTCTGACTGTAGTTACTGGAACTTGTCTGGAGCACGCTCCACAACACCACAAAGAAGGTGATGGCAATGCCCACCAGTGTTGGGGCTATGTTGCTGTTGTGATCCGCCGCAGTGTCTGATTCTGTAGTGCTGTTCGTGTTCAGAGGGTTACAGCCACTAGGGTCTGCAGCAAATCCAGACCAGATCAGATAGGTGCAGTAGAGGGAGATAACTGACGACTGGAGGATGATTTGATTAATTGGATTATTATTATTATTGTACTATTATATTGGGACTCGTAGGCCAAAACGGAACTATTTTCAAAGAGAAAGAATTTAAGATTGAGAAGAGAAAGAATTTAAGATTCAGTCATGTTATTATCTATCTTCATAATATTATTTAACAGCAACCGTTTTTACTAGTATTGATTATGGCAATGATATTAGAGAAGAGGATGTGAGCGATATTAAACCGGGAGAGCCAAGGAATATAATGTCACAGTAACATTATACAATAAAGATCCCCCCACCGGCCGCCCCACCCCCCCCCCCCCCCCCCCCCTGTAACTCAGCTCAAGATTTATAGCAGGTGTAATGTATTTCGGTTTATAAAACAACTCTAATAAAGCTGAAATTACCTGAAGAAGCCCACTCTTAGGGTTGTGTTCTTGAACACCAGGAAGGATGGAAACGACGCTCACGAGGATACACAGGATTATGTTGATGGTGATTACAGCGATGTTCAGGCCGTTGCTGTCACACGATGTGTAAAACACGTACAGAAGCACATTTCCGGCGATGATAGCAACGAAGTTGAAGGAGAAGAAGAAGACAATGCCACACATCCAGGAGCGATCTTTGTTCTCAGCATTATCCAGCCAGGTCTCGTTCCACGTGTGAGCAAAGTCCACCAGGAGAAGTAACTGGATGATGATGAAGATGAAAGCAAAGATGTAGGCAATGATCATCCAAGGGTAGGCAAAAGAGTCTGGCATACCGGCAATAGATCCTATGATGGCAGCGATCACAATAAGGTACTTCCACAACCAGAATCCATTTTGGATAGGAGCTCTTATATCTTTACTGGAACGAACTTCTATCATGATTATCGACATCAAAAAGAAGAATAGAGCCACAGGGAAGCAAACTTTGTAAACGAAGAGATAAGTTCCAAGATCTTCACAGGACACGAGACCACCAGTAATAGGCTGGTATTTTCCTTCCTTACATATGCCAGGTATCTTTTTCATCTGCTCAGAGATTCCAGGAATACGGATAATCAGGGAGATGGCAGTCATAAGAAGTAGGATGCCACTGTACATGATACGACTGGTGGTACTGGATCGCATGGTGGGACAGCAGCTACTGATGCAGCCGCATGCTGCGCTACCAATGCAGCATGCCATCGAGCTAATTAAACAACCCATTCTTTGTCTTTTTTACAGCACTAAACTGCAGCACTTTCACATATTCCTACGATAAAATAGAAATAGTTTGGTTTAGTAGAAATATATGTGTAGCTTTACAGCAATCATAGGACACGTTTAATTTGATCACATTATAGGGTAGGAAATGACAAAAGGTTTGCATTTAATTTAGAAACGAGTACACGAAAAAGTAATTGGTCTGAAAAAGCAATTTGAAAATTCCTGAATAAAACAAGAACAAATATATTGTACGAAACAAATATAGTATATTGCATGTATCAATGTATCATCAGAACAAATAACAATTGGAAATATCAACAAATATCCTTAAATTTTATCTGCGTTCACATAGTCTGCTCCTGTATTGCTATCATCTAACAAACAGAAAACATGACATCTTGAAAAAACCAATTTGATATCAAAATAAATTATAATAAGCTTAATAAAGATATGAAAGATGTTGGAACTACTTCAAACATCTGAAAGTGAACTTAAGCTATTTGATAGCAAAATAAATCATAATAAGCCCAGCTTAAGAAAGATATGATAGATGAAGTATCATACATAAAGTTACTTCAAATATCTTAAAGTGAACTAAAGCAATTTGATACTAAAATAAATTGCCGAACTTAAAAAGATATCAAAGATGATGTAACTATTTCAACTATTTTAAAGGTATTCAAGCATGCAACTGTAAATATGCCAGATATAACATAGTATTTAGGTTTTAGTGGAGGTTCATCTGAAAAAAAATTAAAACAGAAGATTGATGCAGGCTGTGTAATTGTCGAAAAGCAATGTGAGTTCACTCACATATTATTTAAGGATGAACAAAAACAGATGCAATAAACAGTATGTAATAACTTAACTTTGGGCAATCCTCGATCGATTTCCTCCAGATAACACAATCGAGCATAGCACACCATGTATGCTGTAGATCACCGATATCAACTTCTGTATCTCAAGCTACAGTATATAGATCTATGTCTTTTATCGCAGCCAACTTGTGGGAGGTGCCAGGGTAGGATTGTTGAGATGGCCTAATCCTTGGACCTCATACAGTGGCCTGCATCGTTGTGCTAGGATGAAGGCAATGGGAGGAAGGTCGCCATAGATTTGACTAAGGTTGTGCCCAACAGTTCTGAGAAACACTTTCTCTTTAAATGTATAATATTAATGAATTTGGAATGAAGCGGCACTCAAAAAGGTTGAGTCCGGGAAGAGTCCATTCCTCCAACTTATTTACACTTTGTTACATACTTAAAATAATCACGTGATATGTATTATATCCAAATCATTGTGATCAAGCAATGGTAGGTAAAAATATGAATGAATCTAATACTTATATTTCACTTTAATTGTGTTTTGACGTGTGTATAAAAAAAACAGCTCAATAACATGCATTATATGATATCTATATCATTATTCTAAAATACAATTGATGAATTCAACTTTAAATTTATCCTGTGTTATTTTATGCCTCGATCATGCTTCAGTAATTGACAGCCTTTTTTTGAGATCAGGTAAGAATTTCAGGATATCATTGTCATCAACCTCATTAAAATCATTGTTATAAAAATCATCTAGATTTTTCCTCCAGTGTCCATCAGCAACAACGTCTTTCTGAGTTCTTTCTAGCCATTCCTCCTGGCTTTTCACTTTGTAGTAATTCAACTGAAATTTTAGATATCAAAGCAATAAAACAATAATTGTTTTGCTAATGCCTTACAGAACTATATTACTTACTCTTTTTGTCAAAAACAAACCATAAAAGGGATGGACAAATATTGAATTCTGCACAATTAATTCTTACCTGTATAAAGTCATTAGTAGGGTCATTCAATTTGTAAGCAAACTTCTTGACATGTTCTGGAATCGTGGATACGATGTTGAAATGTTCAGTGACTAATGGATATCCGGACTCCAGTACAGGATAATGAATGGTCTTCATTCTTCGGAAATATTTGGGCTGAATAATGGTCTTGTAAAGAATATCCAGATCTGCTCTTCTTTTAGTGAATGTCTCTACCACCAAATTGTTATCAGGTTTACTTATGTGTCCATTACTACCAAACCATGCCCAACCTAGAGCAAGACCACCATAATCAGTATAATCATTCAAGATATCTTTCAAAGTTCTATTTCCTTTAGGCAATATGAATTCATCATCATCTATCAAAGCTATCCAATCAGATTTGCAACCATATAAACTCAGAGCATACACTAAACCTTTCTGCTGTGTGTTCAAAGACATCTTCAGTTGAGCATCACGATATGAGTCATCTTTCCATGGAATGTATGTCACAGTCTTTTTTTCAATGTATGGTTTAAGTACACTATACAAACCATCTCCTGATTCATTGTCTAAAATGTAGAAGTGATCCACACCAATCAATAGGTGATATTCTAACCACTCTTTGATAAATGAGGCAGAGTTTCTGGTTAAAGTAGTGATGGACAAATGATGTGTTTTTTTGGGTTCCTGGCAATTGGACATCAAAACCTTTGAAGCATATTCACCTTTTAGCATGAACTTTATGTCAATCATACATAGGTAGAAGATGAATAGCACAACACATAAAATACTTGTTGGTTTCACTCTGTAACAGCCCATAACTTTGGAGAGTACCTGGATAAAATGTGATTTTACAAATTAATGATGTTTTTTTTTTCTTTGTTCAATGTTCAAGCAATTGTGAAAATTTTCTGGCTAAAGTGTTTGTGTACCAGAAGCAGAGGAACAGAGAAAATGTACAAAATATGAGCCTTGTCTCTAAAACCTCAACTCAACTAGTGTTCCGTGTGTGCAAAAGCTTTCAGGCACGCGCATTCCTTGCCATGTTAGTTACCTGTCCTTCCAAAACCAAACTAGCAGTCAAGGACAAAAAGTCATACACCAAATGGGCATTATATTTTATGAATTGTTTTACATCTTTTTATCCTGTAAAATGTGCTAAAATTAGATTTCTTGTTTCATTGACAATTTCTCTGAAGCAGGACTCAACATATTGTAATAATACAGGGTGGGCCAAAAGTCAGTACCCATATGTTGGCCTTAATAGCTCCGCCGTGTTTTATATTTGAGAGCTGTTGCTTTGCAGATGGCATACTGTACTTACTGGTTCAAGGATTCCGTCGTCAAAATTTGAAAATTCGAATATTTTAGACCACGCCCATTCAATATTAAAACACCTATATTGTTTTCTCTGAACATGCTGAACGCCTAATTTTTTCAGAGACGGTAGATTATTAAATGTTGCATATGATCTAAAAACATGAGGCAAAACGGATTAGAAATGACGAAGTTATCAAACATTTTCTGTATCTCGTTAACAATACTGACTGGGTTATTATGTGACACCGTGACACGACACCTTAATTGGGCACTCTTAACAATTCCCATAATGATTAACGGGGTAGTTAACGGGGGCACCTTATCACGTGATTAGTAAACCAATCACCTGATCACACGTAATGAATTAACTCGTTATGCTTCATATCTCGGTCATCTGAGAAGCTACAGTTCTAATTCTTTCAGGACAAACGTAATTCGAATGGATTAACACAATTCAATAACATTTAGCTTGATCCGACTATCCAAACTATCAAATAAATGTGAAAATGAACCTCCATTTGAAAAAGATGAACGCGAATATTTTTCGAGTTGACAAATTCCTCGAACCAGTGGTGGTACTAAGTCATACCAGAAAGAAGTATTTAAATTGGGAGCTCAGTGACTAAGCTATAAAGGCCAACGTATGGGTACTGACTTTTGGCCCACCCTGTATATTCAATGAAACAAGAAATCTTTTCAATGAAACAACAAAATTAAATTTTTAGCACATTTTACAGAATAAAAAGATGTAAAACAATTTATAAAAATATAATGCCATTTGGTGTATGACTTTTTGTCCTTGATTGCTACTGCTAGTTTGATTTTGAAAGGACAGGTAACTAACGGGGCAAGGAATGTGTGTGCCTGTAAGCTTTTGCACACACCGAAACGCTAGTTCAGTTGAGACAAGGCTCATACTAGGATCAGAAGAAAATTGTTAGCAGACATTAGGGGTTCTGTTTATAGTTGAAACTATGGGTTGCAGTCTTGTTGTGACAGAAAGTCTACACTATAATATGCCTAATAGCGTAGCTTTTCTGTGGTGTCTCCAAAGATCTACAATCGTCTGCCTGATACCATTTCATCGGCTCAATGACTGGAATCATTTAAAGCTCTTCTAAAAACTTTTCTGTCTAAACTGCTCCTTCATGAACTTGAAAATCTTTATCGGTTATTCATTTTGGTCAATATTGGTGTTCGATTTTTACATATAAGTATCATTTTCTGCATTAGACTTAGCGATATATTTTCAAGCATACGTTACCGGTCTTTATTTTATTCAAGTACTTTTCTGGGATCTTTAGGTTAAACACTGCTGAGTATAAGTTTTATCTTAAAAGTGGTGTTATTGAACATCATTTTATTGAGATGACGAAGTATCTCAAGCAGCACTTTATACCTCCACTTAGAACTTGATTAGTCACGAACAATAGAATCATTATAAATCAATACAATTAAACATCTTGATCAATAAATGCCTAGCAGCACCAGACAGCGGCCGTGTACCTTTTTCGACTCCACGGAGTCCCTGATGGACTCTTGTTTACTTTTGTTAATAATTTGACCGCAACCTTTCTTTCTCGAAACATAAATCCTACTGTACTTCATTACAGTATTAAGATAATATAAAGCAAATCGTGTGAATATATGACTACGAAATAGATCTATAGATTTGTCCATAATATTTAATACCGTATTGATGGTTTTGAATTTTGTATATTGAATTTTAATGTGAAGCGTTTACTCTTCCCCCTCGGCAATTAATTAGAAAGTTAGATTAATGACAACAATTGCCAAATGACGTAGTAGATATAGATGTTCGATGTTGTAGAGTGATTTCAAGAGTAGTGGTCCACAGGGGTCCGAAAAAGCCGTACAGGCACTTGGGTTCTTATTCTTGTCACTAGTCCCAATTGGATTCACTTTACACAAAACATGGACGTTTAAAATTTAGACGTACACATTGGCACGATATTTATTAGAAAGCAAACAGTATAAAATAATACGTGCGTGCGCGGCTTGAGCCGCGCCGCATAACAATTGATGCGTTTAGGGGCTGGAGTACGCGTGTTTACAGATTTATGAATTGTTGCATTATAAATATTTAAAGTTGACGATATATTATGATCTAATAGTAAATTTTTCAAAGCTGGCTTGGACTTAGGTAAAATTATAACTAATTTATTTAAAAGAAAAAACCACGGATAGTTTTAAAATTACATAGTCGTATAACTATAATCAAGTTAATCCTGTTTTCAAGAATGCGCAGCTTTGGCGGCCAGTTATTGACTTGTACATAAAATTGAATTTTAAATAGAAATGTGAATGTATTAAAATTTAAAACTTTCAAAACGGAGGCTTAAAAATATTATTATATTATGATTGTAAAATAAAGGATAAAATTTTAAATTTGTTTCACTAAAATTTGTTTCACTATTATTGTTATTATATTGTGCATATAGTTCGAGGATATATAAAAACTTCAAGGTGGATATTATTATATATTGGAGAGCTGGCGAAAGATTGTGAACTTTGTATCAATGGTCATAATTAGCTATAAATATTTTAAACTTACATGGTTTAATCAAAATCACAAACCAATAAACCACAATAAATAACAGGATTGGAAAAAATTGTATGGTAGCGCTCGATCCAATTTCTAGCGAATTTTTAGTGAGCAGCACCCAAACATTTTTCGTAAAAAAACTTTTTTAATGTTGAAAGACTATAAAACAGTTTTGCTGATCAGTATAGTATTTAAATAGTTTTTAGGCAAAAATTATATGTTTTTGTGCAGCAACAAAAGTAGATTCACGATGCCAACAACAAAGCAAAAGCCCGGCCCATAATTCAAAAAATACATTTTTCTTCTAATACAAAGATTTTAATTTCCTGAATTTGGATTAACCGGATTTTTAATGAAATGAATGTCGAATAGTTTTTTTAAAAGCGCGCTATCAAGCGTGTTAAATCACTTTACAGTTTGTTCTAACCAGAGACCTGAGCAGTGGCGTAACGTTGCCTGTTGGCGCCCCCTGCCGAAAAAAGCGCCCCCCTGTTGGCGCCTCCTCCCCTTTTGGTGCCCCTCCCTAAAATTGAACAAATTAGGTGATTTTAAAGAATACGCCGGTAAAATCTCTAAAAAAGTGTGTATCTAGAGCAAAACGCGCAGTTTTGCTAGTACTTTAGTTAAGTTTTCGAAATTGTCCCACATTCAAACGACGATCTGGCGCCCCCCTAAGACGGCGCCCCCTGCACAGCGGGGTCAGCAGGGCCTTTCGTTACGCCACTGGACCTGAGCTGATCTCGCTTGCAGAAAAAGTCATTCTGGACACCGATTATGCTGATGACATGGCTATTATGGACAACTCAGGGGAAGGCCTACAGGAGTCAACTGATTTATTAGTTCATTACAGCTCCTACGCTGTGCGCTGGGCTCAGAATAAATGCAAAGAAGACCCAATGCATGGCTGTAAGCAAGTGTGCCTCCCAGCGACCTTTCATCAAGGATGATTTATTGAGCTGTCGGTTGAGGGTGAACCCGTTGAGCAGGTTTGCAACTTTGTCTACCTGGGTGCAACTATCAGTGGGGATGGGACAATCGACAGAGACCTGGATGTCCGTATCCAGAAGGCTAATGGCGCCTTTCATCAGCTCTGGAACATTTGAGAAAAGACAATTTTTTTTGAGAAAAGACAATTTTATTATTTATCACCAATTCAATACATAATCAATAAATATATATCCGAATAAATGTGATTTAAAATTAAATGAAACAAGTATGCTAGCAGCTAGCGCGCTTGTATTTAATAAATATTCACGCTGTTAAAAATGGGTCTTACCACACCGCCACTCACATTAGCACAGTTGGTGAACGGACCCAGGCGCTGTTAAGCTTTTATGAGCCCTGGTTGACTGCTGAGAGTGGCGACGGGTCTGACATTAATTTTATTTTAGTTTTCCCTATATTCCAATAAAATTTTAGTTTTGAGTTAAATGATTTTTATGCGATATTTAAGTTGAAGCTGCTTGCAATACATTATGCATTATTGCTTGAAAATTGTTTAAATATGCTCGCTATACGCTTAATTTTTAAATACCGTATGTATATGTACACACTAAATAACAATAATAAATAAATAAATAAATTAAAAGAGGTCCAAAACCAGTTCAAGCATGCGACACCATGATGAATACATTGACATCGGAAGCTGCAAGCTTATTAACGTTTGATTCCACGTTGATCTGTTATTATGAAGTCACCTTCAGGCGGTGTCGACGGATCATGCGAAAAGGGTTTTTGACAGGATGTGCCCTTACCATAATTAAACTGAACCATTGCCTGGTACGATGTAAACATGGGTGGTGGATAAGAGAGCCGCGCAAGCGCTCGCGCGCGCATTTGTGTTGCTCTGACAAATAGCGCTTGAATAATTTAGCTACCAAGACGTAAATCGCACGTTACGTGCGATTTATGTATCATTTTTCCCTTCAGATAAAGCGAACGGTACACCCGCGTGTAACCTTCTTCAATGGGTTGTGTGTGTGTTTGGTGGAGTGAGTGTATAATGTAATGATTGAATGAATCTTTTTATTTTGTGGTGTATATATGATGTGAGTGACAGGTGTAAAATGTAAAAGATATAAATATAAATGGGGGTCTTTTCATAGGAAAGTGTTGAAGTTTAAGTCCTGCCAGTTAATATTGTTAGTTTGGTGTTGAGCCTTCATGATAGAATACTTCAATTGGGATTTAATTGTGAACCTATTTTACCACGTGCATTTGACTGTTCAAGAAACGTATTCCATAGATTTGCCCCTTTATATGCGAAATTGTGAGATGAGTGTGGTGTCACAAATCTGTCATCTCTGAGCTGAGACTTCTTAAATAGAGAATACATGGATATGGGCTGATGACTCTTCACTATCTTTATTGTTTCAGTAATGCATCTGTATCTATATATGTTATGTACTGTCATTAGTTCCTTAGATTGGAAAATCGGTTTTGTTGATTCTCTAGAGTGGAATTCTGCCCCAAGTATTTGGCAGCGATGTGGCCTTACTTGTCTATCACCAGTCTTCCTCAAGCTGATACATATAGAACACGGTTTAATGTGAGGTATAGTTGATTCATTGGATATTTGACCTTTCTTGTTTATACTGCACTGGATTGGCCTGCTACGAGAACAAGTTTTAAACTTGTCGCTAAATGCTTCCGAGTCCCCAAATAAGATTCGGACACATTTCTTCTGTGCAAGGAATAGCGGTGAAAGCTTATTAATTGATACACCACCCCATACAGTTATACCGTATCCTAGATGAGATTCAAAAAGGGTGTGGTATATCTGTTTGTACAGCTGGCTGGGGAGGGAGTTTTTTATTCGATAAATACGGCCACATATACTGTTTAATTTCTTAGTTAGAATAGCAGAACTATTAAGACTCCAACCAAGATCAGGATCTATAGGGCTGCTGTCCTCACCATCTTGTTGTATGGAGCTGAAGTCTGGAACACCACCAAAAAGCAGATGAAACGCTTCAAGGTTTTCCATCAGACCTCCTTGAGAAGGATCATTAGGATTAAATGGTTCTTTCATGTGACCAACGAAGAAGTTCTTAGGAGGGCTGGCATCAAGTCAGTTGAGACTTTTATCAGTGCTGCCAGGCTACGTTGGTATGAACATGTAATTAGAATGCCAGACTCTAGACTACCGAGGTTTCTGTTGAACTGGAAGCCAAATTATGGAAAGAGGTCAAGGGGCAGACTCCGTAAGAACTGGAAGACCTGCGTACTTGAAGATGCTGCTAAGTTTACAGGTGTTGCAAACATCGACAACAACACAACAGAAGCCTTGGCTACCAACCGAGTACAGTGGAGACATATGTTACGCCGCCAGCGCGATGTGTGTGATGCAGGCCACTCCAACGACTAGGAGGAGACCTTACCATGTAACATGTATGTATACAGCAAAAATAAGAGAGGGCCTAAAAGAGAACCCTGAGGGACACCAGATAGCACGTGTTTCACCTCAGACCAATGTCCTTCTACAGAAACTCTCATAGTCCTATCTGTTAGAAAATCCTTTATAACATCTAATACTTTTCCCTAACACCAAATCCTTCCAATTTAGACAGAAGTCTAAAGTGGGGGACTGTGTGTTAGATTGATTCTAAATACATTTTCAAAAAGTTAGCTGATAGAATGTCTAGAAAATCAGGACAAAGATACAGTGAGGCAATGACATTTATCAGGGTCTTTAAAACATAAGATTTGACCTATTGAGAACAACAATTATAGCTCTTAGAGGCAAAAGAGGGATAAAAAGTGGTAGCGCTGTTAAAATATCAGAACTAGATATAAATTTAGAGCCAACAAATTGAACTGGCTACTTCTACTACTTAATTAAAGGGTTTTTATAAAATTTACTAAGATTTTTTATTGAATTTCATATTGAATTTTTATATAGGGTCAATGCTATATTATGTGTACCGTATATTGTTTGAATTTTTCCAGTTAAAAAATACATTGCAAAAGATTACATTACAAAAGATTACATTACAAACACACAAATACACATCAAAAGTAGGGCATTCCGAGCTTTGTAACTAACTTCAGATTATCACGAAAGAACGGCAATCGGCTTGCCTTTATTGATATATTAGGCTACGTGGCCAAATGCAAAATGGTTAGCACTATGGTTTGTAGTATACTGCAGGGTACCCTTGACCCTTGTATCACCCTCCGGGATTGATAAATGTCCATTGGAATGACGTATGTTCGCTTCTCAAGCAGAAGTTCTGGGTTTTTATCCCAGTGTCACCTAGTCTAGAGAGTGAGCTTAGGATTCCATCGAATCAATAACATCACATATCTGTGTAAAATTTCCTGATCGATCAGTTCACAGTTGATTCAAACGAATGTTGGGAAATCGTGATTGAGGTTAGATGGGGAAGCGCCTTTCCAAAAGATCCAGTATCCTCTTAGGATACCCCTCCGATATATCTATATTATGGTGTACTGTAAACAAAGTACTGTACTATATTAAGCTACTTTTAGTAAATGTATGTTCCCCTACTTTTCACCTACCCATGTGCTTACACTTACTGTGTGACGCACTTATTGCAACTCTTCTATGGATGAGCTTTTTATGTGTGTTAATTAATATTTTAATCAAAAGGTTGCAGGTTCGGGCTTACTAATACCATCAATCCTTGGGGTGGGCTAAGGACCAGTGGCGTACGCGTAACAAAGGCACCCGCTGACCCTGCAGTGGGGGGGGCCAAATCGTCATTTGAATGTGGGACAATTTTGAAAAAATTCACTTCAGTACTAGCAAAACTGCACGTTTTGCTCTAGAAACACATTTTTTAGAGATTTTGCCGGCGCAGCATATCCTCTAAAATCACCTAATTTGTCTAACTTTAGGGAGGGGCGCTAAAACAAAATGGGGCGCCAATAGGGGGGGTGCTTCTTCAGCGGAGGGTGCCAACATGCAACGTTACGCCACTGCTAAGGACATGGTTAAATCTATGCTATCCTTAACGGACTACGTAACCAAATTTTAACACACAAATATCCCACAAAGCTATGTCCTCATGATTGCTCCCAATATGAGCTGATCAACCAGTATGACTGTGAATTCATGAGCTATGGCGGGCAATGAGGTATGTAATATATATAATAACCTATGATTGAAGATTACCTAATCAATGCTTGTTTATAATTCTATATTAAACATTTTCGTGAATTGATTTCATGGATCTGTTTTATTGACAGGTTGACTAATAATGTTCTAATAATACAATATATTTCAGGATTTGGAAGATAATATCGACCAGATCAACGTGAATGAGATCCAAGAAAACGGCATTGATAATATTGAGATTTTGGAGGATCTAAAGAATCAAAATATTTTACTCAATAAGAGTAATCATGTGGAAACTGATGTAAAATTAATAGATCTAGAAGATGATATAAAAGATAGCAATTTAAATGCAGTTGAATCAACTGAAAAGATTGTCGATAATTATGATCCTGACAAGAAGTTTGAATCCTGTATCGAAATCAATGAGAATAACGTAAAATCTAATGAAGAACTATTGGACAATCATGATGTGGATAGCATTGAATCCTCCTGTGATGAGAACAAGGAGAACTCAGAACAACCGCCTATTTCAAGGACTAAACCTATTGTTCATTCCCCTTCAGAAAAACCACTCTGTCAGAAACACACTAAGAGTTCTAACCAGCTTATAAAAACAGACTGTGACGAGTGCTTCTCATTGCTTTCAAATCCGACAACATCTATATCTCAGATATTTGGAGCAATGAGAGAGTGGATGCCAGGAAGTCAGAAAAAAATGAATGTTTTAGTCGAAGAAATATTAAGAAGAGGTGCACATATAGATGACATGGATGGACTAGAAGGTAACACCATGCTGCACTATGCCTGTAAATCAGCCTCTGAAGGTATCGGATCCAGTGACATGGCAAAACAACTTGTGAAAGATCTGATTGATAAAGGTGCTAACTTTAAGCTCAGATCACGGTGGACTGACATGCTCCCGCTTCATTTTGCAGCATATTTCAACTGTCCGGAGATACTGGGAGTACTGTTAGATGCATCAAGCAACAGTGGTATGTACACAAACTATGAAATATTGCATCCCTAATTCATCAAATTTTTACGAGATTTGCTAATTATTATTTCTGAATTTTAAAATTTTCCCACAGTATTAGTGACGATTGATAAATTGCACAGATCATTTCCGCATTTAAAATCTGCTGAAAAGAAAATTGCATCTCCTTGCTACTAACAGAAAATTTACTAAAACGGTAAACACCTTTTCAAAAATATAAAGATTAGCACAAGCCTTTGATGTACAAGTTTTATCCAAACATCCTTTGAAGTTGCATCCTTTACACCTTTACATAAGAGAAGTCTTGTGATAATTATTTCCAAAAACACACATGACTGTCTTAGGTTATATTGGTGCCGTGCATTAATTTCTGTCCAAACCCTTTGAAATCAACTAGTTTACTATTCGTTAAACTCTGACTAGGCACCAATTACCATGTGAGTGTTAAAACCTGAAACCTGAAATGTAACTGACAATACAACATCCGTACCTACTTTGAAGTTTGAGTATTAATGTATGGCCTCTAAAAGACAGAGACCTTGAGCTGACAATTTAGCACCTGGCTAGTTACAACACGCGATTTACGATTACAATGCACAGCTTATCAATATCAACAACAAAGTAACCATAAAATGAAATGCTCTACTTTAATCCTCAATAATATTTTCCAATCACTGCATGATTTAGTCGTTCTCAGGTTTCCAGCTACACTAATCACTTGCCTCACAGCATTGTAACCTGTCAGTTTCACTTGTCTACGTTTCTAGGTCTCTTTAACTTTGGCCCGGCTCGGAAATCCCGACTCTTCTTCCACTCAAAATTGGGGGATTTTTATCCTCGATATCTCTGGTATCATCACAAATTTCGCTTGAAAACGATGGTTCTCTGAATCTGTACCACTGTAAACTGTGTTAATTTTATTTAGTCTCTAATTTCTCTTCTTGTTTTACACTCTACTCTGAGAGACTCACAGTTCTTGTTTTGACGATTTCGCTCCGGTTTATCATTGATTTTTAAACAGCGTTCTGAACTGCATCAAACTGATCCCGTCATTTTTTTGGTTAGCAAAGTTTAATATTATTTTTCAATAAGATAGACAGATTATGGCAATTTTGTATGAGCGTCCTTATTCAACTTCAGTCATAATAGTTTATAATAGTCACAGCAAGATAAAGCTCTCTAACGTCCTAAAACTGAATAAGTTGACAGTCTTTAAACCTTATAATTATTAACTAGCAGGAACCCGTCTAAAGTGGATGTCGTGGTGTCAGTAAAATGGTACGGATATATATATATATATATATATCGTCTCGCTTTATATATAATAAGATTATTACTGTAAGCAGATAATTCACGTTAAAATCTGCTTCTACAAGCATGAGGGTCCCTTATTTTATTTGTAGAGAGCTGTTATAAAGCAATGAATTACACACGAACACCAAGTTTATCCATTGTAAATATGCAATAGTAGGCACGTGATAAGACAATTAAAAGGTAACAAAAGTGACAAATACTATTATACTATTAATTAAATTGTAATTAAACACCACCTGCCAGATATAGACGCACGGTGTAAGGAGTACGACCAGGGAACAGCACTACACATGGCAGCTTCAGGGCTGTGTTACAAGGCTGCCAGGTTTCTTATAGACCGGGGATCTGATCCTACACTCATCAACAACAAGGTAACAACCACTCTCTCTCTCTCTCTCTCTCTTTTCTCTCTCTCTCTCTCTCTCTCTCTCTCTCTCTCTCTCTCTCTGTCTCTCTCTCTGTCTGTCTCTCTGTCTCTGTCTCTCTCTCTGTCTCTCTCTCTGTCTCTGTCTCTCTGTCTCTGTCTCTCTGTCTCTCTCTCTCTCTCTCTCTCTCTCTCTCTCTCTCTCTCTCTCTCTCTCTCTCTCTCTCTCTCTCTCTCTCTCTCTCTCTCTCTCTCTCTCTCTCTCTCTCTCTCTCTCTCTCTCTCTCTCTCTCTCTCTCTCTCTCTATCTCTCTCTCTCTCTCTCTTTTATTAATCTAAACCCCCATTTGTCATTAAGTTATCATATCGAGGCAATCTCATTTTTATGTTGATATTATACCTAGTAGTCTCTAACACCTGTGTCACGAGCGAGATACGTTGTTTTCATGTGTACATCACTCTCAGATAACACGTAACACCCCAGTACAAGACTCCGTACGAGTGTATAGCTGAGGGAACAAAACACGAGCTCCGCCAAACTCCAGACTCAGTTGAACAACTCAGAGCACTCCTAAAGAGCGCTAAATCTCCTGTTGCTGACGAAGTTCTTAAAGATATCGGCGTCTCAATAGGTTACTCTTCTGCTATTAACAGTTCTTTTATTTAGCATTGCTTATCCTCAGCTCTCATGCTTTTATGTTTCAAGGTTTAAATCCTCAACTCTCATTAAATACCCACCATCTACTCTCTTTAGTCAGCAACCCTCACTCTGACCGAAGGTAGCTCTAATTACGTGACCATGATTCAGGTGACGACGTGCAGGTTGAGGGAGGTAAGACAGGAACCCTCAAGTTCTGCGGTAAGACCCAGTTTGCTAGCGGAGTTTGGTGTGGTGTCGAGCTACATGATAAGACTGGTAAAAATAACGGCTCTGTAGCTGGGGTTACCTACTTCAAAGCTAAACCTGGTTTCGGTTAGTACTCACTGTTCGTCTGTTAGACCTGCTCATTGCTAACCCATCAACAGTAATGTCGGTATTTTAAAGCCGTATAGTTAAGTGAATCCCTTGCATTGCGAGTGATTCACACAGGACACTACTGCAAGTCTACTGCAACTGAATTGCTGCACTGTTTTAAAGTTTCTGTTTAGGAATTTAGTGTTGGCATCTCAGGGGAGCTCAAACAATGATATTGAGTAGAATTATGGTGTTGATCATTAACTTTTAAACATATGCAAAATTGGTGATCCTTCATTCCTCTTGATCTATAAATGCATGCGTTTCCATTTCTTGGAATGTGCCAGAAATATTTTATCAAATATGTAAACATGATGAACTCTCAATTGCAACAGCTTTACACAGGTTTAATACTCTTTCAGGTATGTTTGCTCCTCCTAGTAAACTATCAGTGCTTGAAAAACAGAGGAGACCTTCTCAAAGCAGCAGCTCTTCTGATACCGCTAAACTTAAGGTTGATAACATTAAAAAGTATATAATATAAAAACTAAATTAAATTATACAGCCAATTAAACACCTTTATATTTATATTATTTATATTAGTCTCACTCTTATCAATGTAAAGCTAATCACCATGCCATAGAGCTGTAGAGTGCCTGCACATACCCTAGATATCCATGTTCTTGTAACTGTACATTCAGGATATATCCAGCTCTCTTTCTCTGCAGTGACAATTGTAATGTACTTACTAGTCCGGATATATTATAATGTCCTACCTTAGATATAATACGCAGCACCAGTATAGTACAAAGTTAGCCGCGATATTACATTGTACACTACAACTCTGTACTACACTATTATTATATGCTACTACTACATACTATTGTTCTGTTATATTTAACTATATAGTGTGCCACCACTAATTTAAGAGCTTGATTTGTGGGAAGTTGCGGAAAAACTGCGAGCAGCGGCAATCAAACACTTACTTTCAGTGGTGGCAAGCAATTCAACACATAGGCATGCAGTGTTTAATACTGTCATTCTTTACGGAGAATGTGTGTAATTTCTTCTCCTTTGCTTATCAACTTATCACTCCTTTTCGGGGGATACTTCTGTATTTATACCCTTATTAATTTTGTAATGACGTTTTTGGCTTATCATCTAAATATATAATAATTAACATTCCTTAGAAATTGTATCATGTTCGGTATCATATTCATATTTCATGCAATATTTATTATATACCAGACTTGTAGAGCCCTAAATGAGCTTTAAAAGTTAAAATATCATATTCTATAAATTAATACTATTTTTAATAGTACTAAGCGGGACAATAGTTTGTTTTTATGTACCCGTCTGGCGCGGCCCCCTAAACCCCCCCCCCCCCCCCCCACCTGCACCCGTCCCCAATCTCGTATCGGAAAATGATCCAATTCAAGGGCTCAGTGTAAATACAGTTGTACCTGCAACGGACAATTGATTGTTACCATAAAACCTGCTGTAACACTATAATTATCGTAGTTAAAGCGCTTAATCTCCTTTGTTATTATCCGAGTAGTCACTAATACATTCGACCCTTTACTTCTGCAAAACATTAACACTAACAGAGCTGAGTTTAATATAATATAATTAACTGCATATTATGTAGTTTATTAAAATTAATTATAAACATTGTTTATCCTGCAGGTTGGCGACAGGGTGACTGTGATAGGGTTTAAGCTTGGTTATATTAGGTTCCTGGGAAAAGTTCGCTTCGCTGGAGGGTATGTCATACAACAGTGCACTAACTGCAGCATACCAAAATAACAAATCTTTATTATTTTACCTCCCATATTGTTAGAACCCTAGAACTGTAGTTGTTACTAATATAACGAATTATTGCATCAGCTCTTACCTGTCGTGCGACATCGAACTGAACTTTAATTATTGTTACAGTAATTAAATATCTGAATTCTCACATTCTGATCCAGGTCGTAATTATTACCTCTAATTAGATTCTTGAGCTAAGAAAATAATGCGACTATTCTTTCCATCACTAATCACTATTGATACATCACTAGAGCACCTAGTTCCTGCACATCTTTACAGAAAACGATTCATGGATCAAATGCAAATCCTTTTAACATTCAGGGCTACTCCCTCAACCTTAAAAGTAACATATTTTGACCGCACTTCACTCCTTGTAACCCCTCTTGTAACCCCTCTTGTAACCCCCCTTGTAACCCCCCTTGTAACCCCTCTTGTAACCCCTCTTGTAACCCCTCTTGTAACCCTCTTGTAACCCTCTTGTAACCCCTCTTGTAACCCCTCTTGTAACCCCTCTTGTAACCCCTCTTGTAACCCCTCTTGTAACCCCTCTTGTAGCCCCTCTTGTAACCCCCCTTGTAACCCCTCTTGTAACCCCTCTTGTTCCCCCCCCCCCCCCCTTGTTACCCCCTATTTTCCCTCAGTGTCTGGGTAGGAGTGGAGTTAGATAAACCGTACGGCAAATGTAACGGAACGAAGGATGGTGTAAAATACTTCTCCTGTAAACCTCAGAACGGAGTACTCGTACCAATAGACAAAGTTAAGAGGTAACTGAACTTGTTTTATCTTTATTATTTCCTTCTTTGTAGCTTTGTGTTTTGTTGACAGTTGAGTTAGTTATATCAGTGCCTATATTATCTTTCTCAGGATAGTTTTTTAACGTGTAAACCAGACTATGATAGTCATTGACGTCTCAACTATAAAATTAGTGGCCCCTCCTGAGGTAATCCTGAAAATAGAGAACTTTTAGCTCTTAAAGAAGTGTCAGGAACTCAGCCTGAAGTTTATACTTACCAACACATCTCATAAAACTGTTAATTAAGTTTACATTACTTGTCATGACTGTAGGGCGGGGTCCCACTCCTCACTCGCTAGATACACGTAAGTAATGCAGCAATATATAATGTAATATGACACGGTACAGTGTGGATCAGAGCGAGCACATGGTGAACTGATGTCTGTAGCCGCGTGTCTCTTCTCAATCACTCTGATCTGTCAGCCACCACACTCTACAAGACTAAAGTGTGGCAGGGTCTGTTCATCAGTCCTGTGATACAGAGTATTCAGCATCATGGGATTCTGGGAAATAGTTATCTGTACTGTACTAAACGAGATAGTTATGTGGCATAATGCCATAGTTAGGTGGCATAATGCCATTATAGTTGGGTACATTCGTAAGTTTTCAGCTACGAGAATATAGTCTGTACCTATCTCCTAGTGTCTATCTACGTGCTAGATCTGTTATCACTATGTGACAGATTATTCGAATATGCTATTATTATATATTATATATCTAGTCAGAGTAGCAGAGCTCTAGTGTTAGCTGTAGGGAGTGAGTCATATCAAAACAGATCACCAGGTACCACAACTTTACAGCCCCACTATAACTCTATAACACGCCTCATTTCCACTATAACACCCTCATTTCCACTATAAAACGCCTCATTTCCACTATAACACGCCTCATTTCCACTATAACACGCCTCATTTCCACTATAATACGCCTCATTTCCACTATAACACGCCTCATTTCCACTATAAAACGCCTCATTTCCACTATAACACGCCTCATTTCCACTATAACACGCCTCATTTCCACTATAACACGCCTCATTTCCACTATAACACGCCTCATTTCCACTATAACACGCCTCATTTCCACTATAACACGCCTCATTTCCACTATAA